CAAAAAGTGAAAAAAATAAAAAATTGAAAAAAACCCAAACATATCTAAATAAAAAGGAATAAAATAGATCAAAGAAAAAAAATTAATCGAAAAAGTAAAACCAAATATAGTGAAAACTCATATTGTGATTTCTTTTTTATCTTAATTTGGTTTCCTATTTTTCGTGTTCAATATATAATTTTCATTTGGAATAATTTTATTTTTTTAAAATATAGTCTTGTCTTTCACTATTGTGATTTTTAACATATTTGACTTTATTTTTTCTTCTATTTTTTTTGTCTTTATTATAATTTTTTTATTTAGACACATTTGATTTTTTTTCAATTTTTTCTTTTAATCTTTTATTAAATGTTCTAAGTTTTTATAATATTTGGTCTTTTTTTGTTATCACTTTATTTTCTTTTTTTAAGAAGGAAAAAATAAGTATACTAAATTAAATTCCTAACAGTATTAAGCAGAGGTGTGGATGAAAAAAAGCATAAGATGTAAGTGATTCAAAGTAATACCATAGGATTTTTTTCTTCGAACTTTTCCCTTTTTTTATATTACTTTAATCTTTTTGGTTTTATAAATTAAAACAAACATTTGTTTGTTTAAGTATGAATTATTTGCCCAATAAATCTAGCTAGAATGGATGCTCGGTGAAGTTCTCTTGTAACTTCTGAGAGAAGTTCTTGCCCACAACTCAAAGCAGAGAGTAATCACGAACTCAACTGTTGTCAGTGAACAAATAAAACAAGTGGTCGATGCTTGAACTCAGAAAAACTGTCGGAGAAAGGTGGTGAAAACAAGCATGGAGAAGACACTCACCTTTTAAGTTCACTGATAAATTCACTAAAAGCTGTAAGAACCAGGATAGAGGCCCATACATAGACTTGGATCTTATAAGGATAAGCTAAAGAAATTTCTGCCTTTGGTTCTGAATCTGATCCCCCGCAAATAATACCAACGTAAGCCTACATGACATGTTTCGTATTGGGTTGGCAGTAAGTTAAAAAAATTTGTTTTTTTGTTGTTAAAAGAGTAAACTTGAATTTTCATATACACGAAAAGTTATATCATTTTAAACGAGAGAAAGAGATAAATCATGAGAGAGAAAATGAGTGAGAAATTTTTTAAAGATATGGATCTCACTTCTTTGTGAGAGTGAAAGAATATAAAGTGTGTTATTTGAAATGACACACATTTTTTCCTTCGTACATTTGATTTATTATTCATGAATATCATCATTTTTTTAAGAATAATGATATTAATAACTAAAAAAGTAATTGAATTCAATATATATTAACATTTAAATTTTACAACTTTACGCATCATAAGTTGCAAAAAACTAACCGATTAAAATTAAAAAAACTCAATTAGTATAATGATTGTCTTTGGCTCATTGAACTCAAGAGCTCATGAGCTTTGGTGTAGTTCACCTGTGCATTGTAGTCCAAAATATCAAATTATGAACTAAGAAAGCTATGAGATAAACAGCATATTGAATATTGGTCATGAGGCTATAATTCTTGACCAAAAGAAAAACAAAAAGTAGCCGTCTTTCCATCTCCTATACAGATAGAAGGAGGGGTGCAACTTTTAGTTGTTGTTTTTTTAATAATGAAAATAGATAGTAATCAAATATAATTTGAGTTAACGTGAGGCCGAGTTTCAAGTTTATTCGTCTGTTAAGATGTTTCAGTTGTTTACAGCACTATACTTTAATTTGACACCTATCATTAATGAGAAACGACTCATCTACTATGAAATTTTCTTGAATTTAACTTTTGTCACTTTATTCCTGCAGGAGCAAAGAATCCATTATTGCATTGACTACGCTACCAGAGAGAAGCCAAGGTTATGGCCAAAAACATTATATATATAGTTCAGTTTTGATCTACTAGACATACATGAATTAGTTGACTCATTGCCTGCCCTAATCACCAAAGCATTAATGTGTTTGAAAGAAAGTCCTACTTTATCCACTAAGCAATTTAGACTAACAAATTTAATTTGCTATTCTATTCCTTCCTCTGTCATCCTTCGATAACCTTAAGGTTGTGTGCAATTAGTAAGCGACTAGTGAGCCACTAAACTTGAATAGCGAGGGCTTGGTTTTCAAGTTGATGTGCGGCATGATTTGCCCCACGGTAGGTGTTACAGAGTTACACCTAGGTGAATTTCGTCATTTATGATGTACACAATTGAATAAGTTACCATATTCATGAGAAGTAGTATGTTGTAGTTACAGACGGATCAGGAGCAGTGCTGGAGTCTATTTCTACTTGCAGATGAATAAATATCTCTGTCTCAGACTCTCAGGAGCAATTGTCACGCCACACGACTCTCCATGAACACCATAATTGCGACTCACAATTGACACGGGCACTATTATTATAAGTGTCTGTACACGTATGTAATATAACTATAACATATTAGAATTTAGAAATATTGTCATTTTCGTTCAAAGATTAAGGTCTAAGTCTAATTAGCATTTGGTGTGTGACCAGAATGGGATGGAGATTTTTTCTATTTTTTTTTATTGGTTCTATCGTTCTGAATGGGAAGTAAAGTATATTATTTTTTTAAACACTCATATTTTGTTAATTTTAAAATATAAATAAAATATATTACATATTATATTTGATTCTAATACATATCCGAAACGTTACCTATGTACGCCGATTTGTTGTTCCGTGCCATTTGTGGTGACTGGGGATACATCACTGCCTACTAACCAGGCTTCATTTACGTCCCGACACGTTGTAAATAGGCTGGGCTGGGCTTTGGCCATCCTGGCCCAAGCCTACGTCAAAAAAAATTCAGCCTATCTGGCCTATTAAAGGCTTTATCTGTAGGTCAAGCCCGGCCCATTTTCAAAAATAAGAAAGCCCGACATGGCCTACAAGCCTTGTAGGCCTCCCACTATATATACTAAGCAAAAAAAATAATTGTAGTAAAGAATGTTCCATTCATGCATGCACTAGTACTTCTCATAAGAAAAAAATGACAAACAAGAAAGAGTCAACATAATACCTCAGCTCTAGAATGTATATCATAGAGGAATAGAGTCAAAGAAATGGGAAAAATAAGAAAAATACAATTACTGGATGCTGAAATAAAGTCTACAAGAGAATGTCATTCATCTAAAAATCTTTAAACCACCATCAAGACAAGGGAAAGAAGAGTATTATTGAAAGATCATCATTAGTAACATCATAATCCAGCAAGGTACCCATTGCTCCATGGTATTAAGCTGCAACAACATGTAAAATTTGGAGACATTAGACAAGTTTTCCTTTCATAAAATAAAATAGCACAAAAAGTAAGAGATATTGGTATTTGGTACTTTGTGTCTTTGCCACATAAAATAAATATTATTTTATTATTTTATTTTAATAAATTAAATAGGCCAGCCTACAAGGCTGTATGCCGGGCTTGACAAAATTAGCCTATGGCCTATTTATTAAAAAAGCTTTTTTATAAGCCTAAGTCTACTCTACTTTTCTAAAAGGCTGGGCCTGAGCTGGGCTCAATGTAGGCCAGGCCGGACCAGCCTGGCCTATTTACACCCCTACGTCCCGTGATATCCGGACACTATTAAATGAGGCCCTTTATTTTCCGAATCATAATGGCAATTGGTGTGGGCCTCAATGCTCCGTTATGTTGCCATCTCAAAGTTGATAGAGGGATTTTAGCCCGATATGTTAGGCCTATAATCTTTTATAACAACTTTTAATTTGATTCATATTTTTTTTTTTGGAAAAATTATTTATAAATTTTTTATTTATAAACTCTTAGAAATTATATTACGTACTAAGGTGTATATTCCATCATACAGTCTATTACCCCTAGTATATTGTATAGTTTGTAAAAAAAAAATTATTATTTTTTTTAAATATAACTATCCCTTCTTTTTTTTATGTAAAAGTTCAATTTTTAAAGTTTACTTTGTTTCGGTTAATTTTATTAATATTCCACGACATTGAAGCTAAGTCATTATTACTTAGAGAAAAAAAAATTAAAATTTAATAACTTAGTTGAAACTTTACAATTATAAGACATTAATAATTGAGAAATATATTTTTTATTATGTAAAGATGAAAACATTAATTTATTAAACAATTTCAGTAACCTAAAGTAAATATTCCTTTTTATTTTGCCAAACACAACCTTTTTGTTTGCAAGAGATATAAGGGCGTGGTTTTACAAAACGTTTCCTGTTTCCATTCTTTATTCTCATTTCTTAAAAAATATTTTCATTTTCAAATTTTCATGCTTTAAAAACATGTTGACTTCCTGTAATTTTCATTCTCTTTGCTGCTGAATTGCCAAATTTTCATGGGAGGATGTTCAACAGTTTCTTCCTCCTCATTAATTACACACTTCCATTCCCTGCATCAACAACCCCTTTACTACGTAGACAGCAATTAAATTTAAACTACTAAATTTAAAAAACCTGAATTTTATAGCTCAACAGTAGAGAGAAATTACTCCGCCCTATTTGTATTATATATGGTGTAATCTTTTTCCCTTTAATTTGTTCTGCACTTTTTCTTCATTCATTCACTGAACTTAAAAGAGATTTTTGGTGAACGGCCTTGTCGTTTAATGTCATCTAACATCTTTGGAAATACTTGATTTTTAGTTTAATTCTTAGCGAGTCTAATTACTCGATCGTATTTTTAGCTATCCAAAATGCATGTTTCCATTCAGGGAGTTAATCTTCAAACAATAAATAATAAAGTATAATTGCTCACAAAAGATACATTGTCATTCATAATTAATTATGAGGAAACTCCGTGATTCTCATATCCCATAAATGACATACGTTACATAACATATATAGTCTATGGAGATACAGAGAACTTGTTTTATTTTTATTATTGCTTGTCGCAAACAACAGTGACATATTTCCCTGTCCATTTGAACATTGCACATTTTGTAGTTGTCAAACATAACGGAAATACCAAGAGAGTATTGGTTATATAGCTAATTACAGCTTCAACCATAACCCTTCAACTAAGATCAGAGAAAAATGGAATGTTGGTGGAGTTCAACCAGTCATTACCTTGTATGAACTGTCCAACAGTGAATTGGCTAGCCTCAGTGGAATTTTTGATGACCCTATAACCTGGCCACGTTACTCTGGCACTTGTATTCGAACCAGGACCCGTATTCATGTACTCTCCATAATAAAGTGTATCCAATGCAAACGTTCCATTCCATTCCAACCACCCTGCAGGGTCTATCAGATCTTCCATGTAAGATTTGAGATAAACAGTTCTTGAATACTTTTTCCAAGGTCGACCAAGGTAAGTCTTGAACGTAGATTTGACTGGGATTAAATCAGCTGCAGCAGCAACCTTGCAATTCAAGATAGAAATTCCAGTGTTTTGGTTAGGGTCTTCTCTGCCTTGTGCAGTGAACAAGTTCTTTTGGTTTTCATTAGGCTTGCGTGCGTATAAGTTGCAGTTTTGAAAGACCACTGCAGCATTGCCAAAGATGAAGTCTATGGTTCCATAAATGTCACATTCACGGTAGAATTGACGGAGAGAGTGGACATAGAGAGTGTCTTGGTATGCAACAAAGCTGCATTGGTAGAAGGCTGAGAAATCAGCACCACTCCTCACCGCCACAGCTTGGTGTTTGCTTGGCCCTGCTGAGTTCTCAAAGGTTATACCCTTCGCTATGAACCTGTCTCCTACCACAGCTGAAAGCAACATCAAACGCTTAATTAGAATTTGAAGGACAATATAAAACAATGAACCAAGAGAGTAAATTAAGTTTAATTCATATCCTTAATGTGTTAACTACTGAGCAAAATAAAGAATGAAGTATAAAATAAAAAAACATCAAAGAAGTAATTAATGAAGTGGGTCTACTGTACTGATAATAAGTAGGGATACAAATCAGAATTTCCCTTATTGGGCTTGAGCAATGTGGACCCTTTCAATCACCCAATTAAAAAAAGGTAAGTCCTCTTTCTGGGAAGAATAATAAATTTTGATAACGCAAAGCTGAGGTCCTACTTCGCTAATTATTAAGATTCTCATCTGTTCTTTTACTTTGTCTTTCAAACTAGAGTTGTCGGCAACTACAAGGAAAAACGAAATTGGGTTTGTAATATGTTGTTCCTGAGTGTCAAAGCACAAACATATAAAACAAACTTCTTACCCCACATCTAATATTATTTCGATGGGTTTCTCTTGTTGGTGCTGTCCACCCCATAAGTCCCATCGATTAACCTTTTAATAACATTTTGCAAATCATTGATATGTTAATTCTTCTTCCTAGATCCTATTCTGGATTTCCCACGTGATGTGCGAGACCCCGATGTTAATTTAATAGGACGTGCTAATTGGTTATATAATTAGGATCATGCTCGTGCAGCTGGGAACAGCCATACAGCGTGGTGTTGCTTATTCATTTTTTATCAGATCCAGAAAGTCCAATGATTATGTAAAAAATTAATTCAATCCAAAAGCTTAAGTTAGTGGGTGAGATTATAGTAATAATTTTATGTGATAGGATATTCTTACACTGGTGTAAGAGTTAGAAGTTTTACACTCATCTTAATCATTAATCCACTTGTATACAATTGCTCATATTACTAAAAAATTAGAGCCCTTAGATATAAATCGAATCAACGGATAAGATTAAGAGTGTAAGTTACACTGGTGTAAAATGATCCTGACCCTAATTTTATATATATTTAATATGTTACTTCACATTAGAGTCTACTGGACTTAGGATGAACAATATACAGACTCACCTACCTGTGCTAAGAAATTTTACAAAAATTAATTAATTATTAATTAAATTAGGGGCGGTGATGATTAAACTTATGATGCCAAGGCTTTATTTAACCCAAAAATTTAATCTTGTGGGTAAGACTATATTAATAATTTTATATATCTCCAACATATTATCATTTATATAACACAAACAGCAGTTTAAAGCAATGTTATTAGAACCAGACCGGTCATTGACCCGGCCGAGGTACCTGGTCACTGGGTCAATGGTTAAATCGGTCGAACCGGATATACATATATATATTTATATTTTATACTTTATTATATAATAAATATTTTAAATAGTGTCATCTAAACAATAACCTGATGTAGTTTAGTGGTATTTGCTATGTTGTATAAACTCAATAATTGGATGTAATTTTTGAATTAATTCTCTTAACTTAATAGTTATATAATAAATATATTAAATGGTGTATTTTATTCAACTGGTGATGGTGGTACCGGTTCACCAATTGAACCGCGATTTATCACTGGATCACCGAGTCAATATCGGGTCGCATGCTCAGTCCAATGCCACAACCAGACCGGTTGATGGGCCGATTACCAGGTTAACCAATTGAACCGGCAGAAGCTGATCCGGTTTTAATAAGACTGGTTTAACTTTAAAGCGTATATACTAAACTTTATCTATAAATAACATATTTAACAAAAGAGAGTTATTTTTCCTTAATTTAAGTCAAAACACAGTTTGGACAATAATCCAAAGAAGCTAGTACTAGGTCTTCGGGTGGTTTCAATTTGCAAGAAAAAAGTTATCCAGTTCATATAATTAGGCTTTAATAGATCTTCTCTCGTTAATGGAAAATTTTGCAGCAATACTTATTTACGATTTTATATATTGATATTTTTTTTTATTTCAGGATACCACTTCATATCTTAATGTTAATAAGTTTGTTATAACTTTTTTCATCTGGAGCCACAGCAGAAACGAAAAACCCTTTGCATAAAGCCATATTGGTTTGGAACATTGGGGTGTATTTAGTTTGCTTAAATATAAGCAAATGAAACATATAACCAGACGCAAAATTTGAATAAAAAGTCATTTGAGTGCTTTATAATTTATATAAATTTTTCCCCATCTCATTTTTAGTTTATGTATCAACTTTGATATCTCCCATAATATAAAATTAGCTGGAAATTATTATTCATTAAATTTTATGGAGTGAAATTAAATCATTAGATATATTTAAATTTATTTTACTAAGGATTGCGTTAATCTACTGAACTATCTAGTAAACACATTTTTAATTTCAGATCTCTAGCATAACGTGTTTTGCAAAACCAAAGCAGTACTTTTACTTTCTTATGCCTTTCAAAAATAAATCGTTGACAAAAATCTATTTACTTCTGCCCGATATTTTGTGTATTCTCTATACTTTCCTTTTCTTTGGTGGGCTATCTCGATCTCTATACGTCCTTGTTTGCTTGATTGGTAGGGCAAATTTGTGTTTACAGCTACAAGATAACCTATATGGACCCATAGACCCATGTCTTTCGGTGTTCAATCATGGCCAAGTGGAAACTTATATAAGATTTTAAAAGGAAGAAACCCAATGTACCTAGTTCTTAGTTCTAACATTCAAATCCAAGTTGTGTTCGAGACAAGAAAAATTAAAAAAAGGTATAGTATTTAATGTTTTTAAATGCCGATAAGAATCTATCTACATCTACGTACAAGCAGTCATTTTTATTTTCTTTTTCTTTTTGCCTTTTGTCAGACAACCAACATTGGCCCGTGATTGTGATACATGAAAATGAATTATTAGAGAGCATCAGAAAATGCAGATCTCTGTTTCTTCTACAAAGGTTTCAATATTGGAAGTGGAATATGTGCTTTTAAGTTCACTTAACTAAATCTAGCAATTTTTCTTCTTCCTTTTGTTTAAATTTTCCTAATCATTATTATTTTTGTCTTGTATATTCACTAAAGAATAATTTGGGCCTGTTTTTCGTTTTCATGGTTATTTTTTCACTTTAATTTTTCAAGAATAAGTATAAAATTCTGAGCAAAAGTAGTAGGAGGAACTAAAAAGAAGAAAGTTTGAATTAAACGCACCAAAAGTAGCTGATTGGAAAGTTGTCCATCCATCCACAACATTTCTATTAGCCTTCACAACAGTCTTTCCAATTCCATCTCCAACTAACATCAAATTGGTCTTCTTCTTTATCACCTCCACATTCTCAAAGTATGCTCCTGCTTTTATGTGTATCACAAACCTACAATCACACAAAATTAACAAGTAACTATTAATTAATGCATGCTTAACAATTAAACTCCATATTTACCTAATGACAATAAATAAATAAATGGCTACATTAATAATTAATTAATAAAGTCATGACGGATAAGGTTAAGGTAGTAAACGTGCCTAGTTGTGCTAGAGTTTGGAGCTGAAGACAGTGCTTCCCCTATAGTGGTGAAGTTGCCAGAGCCATCTTTGGCTACAACAAGATCAAACTTGGTCTCATTAACAGAAGCTTGTAGTAGCTTTCTCTCTTTGGAGGTAACCCACAATGGGAAACGGTCTTTCATCTTTCCATATTCGGGGAATGCCTCAGACTTTGATGGTTTCTTCACTCCAGGGACTTTCTTCAGCATGGCGAGTGAGTTACTAACGTGATGGGAGATCTCAAATAACTTGTTTTCGATTCTGCTTCTCACATTTCCTTTACTGTAAGCAAAACCATCCAGACACGTGTACAAGTTGGTCATTGCGCCACTTAGCAGAGTCTGCAAGTCATGGTAGCGCTTGGAGCCTATTGTGCTTTGAGAGAGAGCAGTAATGGTTGTTTTGAGTTCCACAATGGTGTCATCAAATAAATTGAGACAGTCATCAAGAGCTCTCTGTTCAAGTTGGTTGAGATTTCGAAGCTTTTTTCGTAAGTCACTGCAGTTGGAGGATGACAATCTTACCTCGTATATGGTGTGATTTATGGCGGAACAGATAATTTGTGGGACAGATTTGGAGGTAAGATCTGGGAATGAGGCCAAGGTTGAGACGCAAAGGTCTGGATAGAGTGTTTCTTCGCATGTAGAGGAAGCTACTTGGATGTGCTTTTTGACATGGAGGTGTTTTGTTTCTTTTGGGGTGCTACTAAAATGTGTTACCGTAAAGATCAGTAGCACCAAAACCACGGAGAGAATGGGTACTAGAGCTGGCAAGGGTGTTGTTCTTCTTCTCATCATGGGGTTATACATGCTAGCTAGAGGAGAAGGAGAAAATCTGGATCACTTAGATGGATGTGTTTGTGAAATGAATTGAGGGGAATAAGATGGATAGGGTGGTTGGGTGGTGCATAAATGAAACGATGTGGGTTTCTGTAGATCTCGCAGCGACAGCACGAAACTTTGTCCCTTTTTAATTTAGCTAGTTTTGATGCGAGGTGGACTTCATCTTCACAATACTGACAATAAGATAATGTTTCTCTTTTTTGAGTTGCACTATAAGTATTATTTAACGTGAATGTAAAAATGTTTGACATTATGATTTAATTATGTTATGTGTTGCTGCGTTAGCATGATAAAAATGATTGGGAGTATTAAATGTTCTGGGGTTAAAGACTTCATGAGAAAGTAAAAGTTTCATCTTAACTCTTAAGAAACTACAAGTATTAATTATATTTGTCTTTAAGCACCGAATATAATAATTTTAAAAAAGGATTAATGTGTTTAACATTTGTAATTCTTTAAGAATTAAAATATAATTTTTTCCCTATGAAAGATTAATGTCTCGGTTACTAAATTTTAAAGAACGAATCTTAAGTTGCAACTAGTTGACGGTAAAATTATCTTTATAATAACAATGAATTATTAAAACTAAATAATTTATGTTTAATCTCAAGTAAAATAAAATAAAATAAAAACTTGTTTCGCTTCTAGGTTTAAGTTTTACTTTTAAAAAAATAGATATATATAACCATCCACTGTAAGTAATAATTACCTTGCAATCTTTTATATATATATATGGGAAGGATCTATTTACAAATTTTTACAAATTACACTATATGTATTTCCGAGAAAACATAGTGTAGTTTGTAAATAAAAAGTTTATAAATATAACTCTTTCCATATATATATGTGCGTGTGAAAATAATTTTTTTATGTGTACTAAAATGATTATATCATGTTGTAGAAACAAGATTATAAGTGAAACTCAAACAGAGAAAAAAGAAAGCAACGAGATCCCCTCCTTTTTTGAGTGTGCAGAAAATTTGATTCTCTCGTACCAAATATATGAAACCGTGCAAGGACATTCAAACAACCAAACAAATTTCACCACCAAATAAGAAGTGGAAATAGCATGAGAACCTTAATCAAAGAAGAGTGAGTGTAACACAAGCTAATAAGAAACATGGATCCTCCAACTCCGTGTAGGTTAGGGAACTAAAATTAGCTAGATGATCCTTACACCTATTTCCTTTTCCTGTCCTGAATGAGTGAAGCATCAAAACCCACTGGATGTTCCGAATAACAGAAAACCAACGGCGAGTAGGAGGAAAACACTTCTTTGATTAAGATATAGTCCATCTCTGCCACAATTTTCACGTACCCTGACTCTTATTAATATTGAGATTCGTACTCAAAGACCCACCTAACAGCGACCGACACCACAAGATCAACTCACTAGAAGCACATAACAAATTATCACTCTTCTCTAAATTCATGAAAAGCACATGCACCAAAGAAAAATTGCAGTTATTACCTACAAAAGCACATGTGGTTTGATCTGGAACTCCAACTCTGTGTCACATAAAAATATCTGACTAATTTGTTTAATAAAGGGGCAAGTAAACTCAATTACACAGCACACGGGACTTTTCATGAATTTAGACATCAGTGATAATTTGTTCTCTGCTTCTACGCAGTTGATCTTCTTGTAATGTGGCTTAGGAATCTAAACATTTTCCTTTTTAAATCAGTGTTTGTATTAATACACCTAAAAAAAATTGTCAGAGAATTTTTTATTTTTTATTTTTTAAAAAAAGAAATTGTTTTCTTTAAATAAATTAACACAAACATACATTTACTTTCTTTTAATATTTCAGTTATGACTAAGCACAATTGATTCGTTACAAGTACCGAAGTCGAAATATTATCTGCTAATAATGACAGAACGGGCCCAATACAATTAAGGATGATAAATATTAAGAACGAGGAGCTACCCCAAATCAAATAAAATCATGGCATGCAATTAAATTTTTTCATGATATAGACACACACATTTGCATGTTCTGTACTTGTGACTATGCTTAAACCCTGTCGGTGGTATGGCTCTATGAATGGGAAGCCTTTATCGGCTTCACAGTGAATACGACCGGAGAAGATCGGTATATTATTAACATATTGTGGTCTCTTGCAATTTGGGGGTGAAAATGAGTCTGGTCGACCTACCTTAGCTTGTATCATGTCAGGTTTGACCAATTATGTATAGATAAATAAAATGGGTTTGGACTTTTAAAAAAATCTATTTAGGAAGTAGATTATAGACTTTTTTTTTACATGACAAGCCTATGAGCCTACAAGCCAGCCTATATCATATTATTTATTTTAAATAAAATAAAATAATATTATTCATAATAATATCAAATGGTGATAGCTCAGTTGATGTATGTGAGTTGAGTAGGTAGTGGAAAGACCTAGGTTCGATGCCACCAATACTACCTTTGAGAGAGACATAAAATCTGTATCAATCTCTACAGCATCAAAATCAACATTTAGTATTGGAAAAAAAATGATCCATGCCCATAATTTTTGACATTGATTTGAATTTTTCGAGACAAACTTCCGCCTAACCCAATCCCTACTTCCAACAGACCAGCAAATGCAGATGAAATTGGACATGTTTTTTTATTTTTTTACGGCCCAATCAATATCTTTACTCGTTTCAGGGTCCCTGTTGGCCCAGAAAAACATGCGTGGGTGATAAACGACAATTAAATTACGCGCGCTTTTATCACCCAAAAAATTGAATTTAGATTTCGAAAAAGTTTTAGCTGAAAGAAAAGAAAAAAGACAATATAGCTACGGGTTCTTCCAGTGATGACATATCTACTCTCACTAAAAACCACTTTAACCCTCAGTTGTAACATTTATTTTCTGTAACACTTTTCTTTTTTGTATATAGCATGTCCCATATAAGATAACGAAAGATCACTAATTTTATCAACGATTCAAAATGAGATTACATTTTAAAGAGGAAAAATTGAGAACCAAACACGTATTTGTTTTGTCTATCACTTTTATTTACACTTTAAAGGTATTTTGTAACTTTTTTTATAAAACAATTCCTCCATCATTGGCCCTTGGCTTAAAAGTGTTGGGTTTTGCTCTTTCACAAAAACTCAATAGGGTCTAAGAGCCCAAGAAACATAAAACACATTTTGATTAGGGTTAGAATTTCTTAGAACCCATATATATTCTACACTTATAGTCATCAGCCTCTCTAGTCTTCACTTGGTGGTTGCAGAGACTGAGGTAAGGTGATCTCCCTGAAAGTGAAAGAGTGCCCACACACTTCCCATTTTCCCTTGAGACATAACCTGGAAGATCTATCATAGTCCAGTTTCAAGGAGGTTGTACATACTGCAGCGCTGAGATCAGTCCGTGAGTTCGTACTGTGACGCAAAAGACTCTAGTTTGTGGAGCATCATCTCGGATCTGCGCTACAAGAGATAATTGTAAACAATGATGATCCTCAACATCTAAACCGCACTAATCTAATCGCTTCCGAATGATGCAATTGCTCCTACAAAAAGGACTCAAAAAAATTTTGACATAAAAAAAAGGAAAATATTTCTCCTTTTAAAAATATAGAGTTTTGTTATTTTAAATGAGAAAAAAAGTCATTCACTTTTTTCTCCATCATTTTTTTTTCTTTTTTTAATTTAAAATGACACAATTCTAAAAAAAAAAAAATACAAATATCAAACCTAATAATAATAATAAAAAAAGTCCTATTACATTAATTATCCTCGGAGGATCCTCCCCCACCGTAGAGACCGTTGTCAACCGTGAAGGATGGAGCCATCACAAAACTTGCCAAAACTGCCTCATTTTTGAACATTTGGCATCATCTTAGGCGCTAAGTAGCCACTGCCCTTACCAAGACTACAAATGATGACAAATTTGACGTAACATTCTTATGAATGGAATAGTGATCATAATATCACTTTTTATAAAAAAAAAATGCCCAACAATCACGTGAAGAGTAAAAATTTTCAAATTGTCAAACGTGTAAATTCGCTACCATTATTTGTGAATTACTTTTGCAGACATGACACATTTCCGGTAACCTCTTAATTCGCTATTAATATTAGTGAATTAAGTAATCAAAATATCAATATGCTCTCAATAAAAAATAGAAAGGATGGTAGTATGATACAAATTCGTTAAATAGGATAGCGAACTAGGTGCATTAGGGTACACTACTTCATCACCACTGGTCACGCCACTGAGATACATGAAAATAGTGGCAACTCGAAGATCATTTTCTATACCACGGTTATATGTGCGACTGCGATTCAAAACATACACTTGTTTTAAAAAAATATTTTTCTCTTCTCTCCTCGTACAAACATCAAAGAAGTTGCTTAAATTTCATTGGTTGTCGTACAGAGTTGTTCATGCAATGGATGTATAGAAAATATTTTCGACAACTCGGTATCTACCAACTTTATCAACAAAGTAATCATTATGTGGATCATATTTCTGCCCGTGCTCATATCTTAATACTTGTATGTCTTATCCATTTTCTGAAATTCAATAATCAAATGCTATGAGGAATTG